TCGAATCTCTCTCAATGCGTTTTTTTTTTCTTGTACCTGTAAATTTCATATTTTTAATGAAATTTTTCTTTGCCGATCAAAAAAAAAAAAAAGTCGCGATTCATTCGATTAGGCACCTGAAGGTCTCATGTTTTTTGCATCAAGAGATTTATGTACTTTGTAATATTTTACAGAAACATATCAAATCCTTGGTTTTCTTGGTTCTATTTTCGAAAGCATTCATATTTGTTTTCATTTGTGCAGGTGCAAACAAAAATCTCAAATGTCGAGTAATTATACATAGATGCTAAACCAGTTGAACAATTTGTATCATCATCTTGATAAAAGATCTAAATTCTTTGTTAATGCAGGCACAATGAAAAAATAAATAAAAATTTTGTAGCTCCAAATTCCCCTCTCCATTTAGTAGGTATGAGCAATACTCTCTCTATATATATAAACATACTTAGATGGAGAAATAGTAGTTGTAGGAACAGTGTCAGCATAAGTACAAGTTAGTGACAATCAAGAAACACAGAAAAGATTAAATTTTGTGGCTACCTTCAACAAGCGTTGTGGCTATCTGCAGATCTTCTTGTTCTCATGCTGTTATGCAATTACGATCATCATTATATCATCTTTCTCTTCTAGTATATATGCATAATATCAATATCTATCATTACCACACACAATCATATTAACAATTTAGACATGTGCCAGGGAAAACATGTGATGTGAACATATAAATGAACTAGCATACCATGAACTCAATTGAGTAACTTAGATGTGTTTGCAGAACAATGACATCAAACTTAATTATCACTTTCATTAAACATAAACATAGATGATAAGTAATTATTGCAATCATATAATATCTTATAAGCACTAGTACACTGTAGTATCATTTATTTTATCTCATCAGACTTCTTGTTGAGTCCTCCTGAACCCACAAGAGAGACCCGACCCACAAGAGAGAGCTACTATAATTAGCAAAAGAGGCCTAAATTTAGGGTTTGGGGACATACAAATTTAGGGTTTTATGTTTTTTAAACTAGGGTTTTTGTTAAGTTGTTCATAATATATTCAAATTCAAGCAGCCGGGGCATAATCATAGTCGCCATCGTCATCGTCATCGTCATCATCTCCATCGCCTTCCATGGATGCAGCTGGGACATATTCATAACCACCATCGTCACCGCCATTGGCACCGCCTCCCACCAATGTCGGAGGGTCATCAGCACAGCCACAATGGTCAATAGCATCATGCACATAATTGTGCATTTTGGTACATGAGTTGATCAACCTTGACACATGAAACATTTTTAGGGTTTTGAAAGGAATTGAAGCTAGAGGAATTCTCAAAGAAGACACCAAAGAACTTGTGTGATACTAAATGGTTATGGATGAAGATTTATATACATGGCATAGAGGGTACAAAAGGGGTTGGAACAGGTCTGTTGCAAGTCTGCCACGTGGAGAGGTGTGCCATAATGTTACAGAAGTGTGGAGGCACATGTCGTGATACGCCACGTGGATGGCTGTTTGATTGACACATCAGCAAATATAGTTACATGGCAGAACATCATGATCCTACTTTGAACAACCTTTTTGTTGTATGGTTTTTGGTGATTGTGCTGATAGAAAGGTACCCATGATTTTTATTCGAGAGTAGTATGATGTTTTATAACAAAAGCTTTGCAATGTAGAGTACCTGCATTTTAGGCATGTAGTGGACCATTATTGAAGTATGAATTATGTAAATATTAGATATAAGGATAAGATCATGTGGTAGTATTATTAATCAATGGAAAGTCCCACATTGTGATAGCATGAATTACATGATTGAGTTATTAACCAATAACATCACATATAATGATGTTACCATTGTATTCAATATTTATTTATATTTTTCTAGAGTACATGACTTTTCTATATATTGCATATGCCTAGTGCGCATGCAATGGAAATTTCCAAGAAATGCATGCAAAACTAATTTCATTAGGCCTTGTGTTTTGGGAAAAATCATCTTGTTCATATGAATCCATCTCGAGTACAATCAAGGGCAAAAATGGTAGGCAAAATTACATATAAGCTCACAAAATTGGATTTACTTGATCAGCTAACCTAGTTAGGATATGTTTTGTGGTGATACTTTTTTCCCCAAACCCTCTCCTCATTGATGTACTGTCTTTTTGCACTGCATTTGTCCTTTTAGTTTGCATCAACAAAATCTTTTTTTTGCCGATAAAAAAAAAGGAAAAAAAAAAAAGTTTAAAGGCAAATGGAGATGATTTTTCAAGCATTTAATTTAGTTAACAAACTATAAGAAAACTGAGTTAATTTTTAAACACTAGTATGTGAAAAATAATTTCAAATCTTTATACCCAATCTAAAGATTCAAATAACCCTATTAACATAGCATCACTAACATTGATCCTATACAAATTAGCAAATATAATTAACTATTCTTACTTTCTTGAGTTAAACCTGACATGTGATAGTTATCTTTATAGAAAAGTTAACTAAGTAATAATATAGCATTGTCACGAAGTATTAGAGTTGTTCAATCATCACTATAACATATAGGAGTTTTAGAGACCAAATGTTTTAATCTCTAAAAGTGAAAATTTTGTTGTAAAAGATATTTAGAAACTAATTTCTATCGTCATGAGGATAGTCGCTAAAAAAGTATCCTGAAAAGTAAAAAACAAAGCTTTTAGCGACAAAATTTTGAAAATGTCCCTAATAAATAAACTTTTAGGGACAAAATAATTTGGTCTCAAAATGGTTTATTTTTTAAAACAAAAAATTTGGTCCCAAAATGATAATAATTCATCACTAATATCTAATTTTTATTGCTAAAAATATAATAACGACACTTTTTGTGACAAAAATATTTGGTCTCTAAAAAATAATTTTGCTCCTAAATTTTGGTATCTAAAACCTTAATTTTTTGTAGTGCATATACACTGGATCTCAAAATTATAAATCACTTCAACCATATTAATGTGAATTATGTAACCTATTTACAACCCTAATTGAACCCCAAATTTTAGGTTGTTGAAGGCGAGGGTCAATGTCTAGTAAGCAAATTCCTCGTTTGGGAACAGGTTAATTTAGTAATTTTTTGGCTATTTGGCTAAAATATGAGCTAAAAAAAATTAGTATGTTTGGGATAACTTTTTAGCTTTTTACGAAAAGATGTGCAAAAAAGTAGAGAGAAAATAGAATCTTTGACATTTTGATATGGGTTGTTGACTTTTTGACTAATTTAGTAACTTTTTGACTTTTTGACTAAAAATGAGAGATCCCAAACGAGGCCAGCTTCTAATTAGCTACCATCTATAACAACGATATGCATACTGAATTTTCGTATGTAAATCTCATTCATAATAATTGGGAAAACTTTTTTAAAATTATGAGCTAAGTGATGTTCCTTTTGTTTCAAAATGAAAGGAATCACAATGAGTCCAATTTTTTGACACTCTTTTTTCTCTAGAATTTCAACAAGTCTCACCTATACAAGTATATAGGAATATTAAATAAGAATTTCCTAGTGTATATGTAAAGTAAACTCGCTAAAGTAGTGGTAAACTCTTGTGGGAGTGCAACTCTTGCTCTATTTTTTTACACAGAAGGTGAGAAACTTGTGTGAGTGAAACTTGTAAATATTTTTAATCAAACAGGCTGAATTGTAATTTCTCCTTGTTTTTCTGAAGAATGTTATTTATGGCCTCGTTTGGAAAGTTGACTATTTTAAATTTTTGTTATTTTAGTAAGCTAAAATTTTTATATTTGAAAAGATGGTTGAATTTTTTTATAATTAGATATGATATTTATGAGAAAACAAATAAAATGATTATGTATTTGATGTGACATTTTATCTTATTGACTATTTTAGCCTATTTTATCTTTTTGTAAATTTTAAGCCTAAAAAACCCCAAAAATCTACTTTCCAAACAGTGCCTATATATCACTAATTGAATTTATTAATTATTACGTTCAAATAAAGAGCTAATTATGAGCATTCAAGTGAGTGGAGATACTCAATGGCGGTGTTTGGGAAGATTTTAGTTTGTGTTTTTTATATTTTTTTCACTAAAAGATAAAATTTTTGCAAAATCAAAAAAGAATAAATCTAAACAAAATATCACATCTAACCCCATAATCATTTCACTTTTTCTCTCACAAACATCACATCCAACCACAAAAAAACCTAACTATCTTTTCAAATACCAAAAAAAATTTCTCCAATAATATCCTATAATTAAAAAAATCTACATAAAAATCTACTTCCCAAACATCCACTATATATATATATATATGACTAAAAACTGATTTTATTTATTTATTTAAAGTCGGGCAAAGTTCTCATCATACCCCCCTTGCGTTAATTATTACGTTCAAATAAAGAACTAATTATGAGCATTCAAGTGAGTGGGGATACTGACTAAAAACTGGTTTTATTTATTTATTTATTTCAAGTCAGGCAAAGTTCTCATCATACCCCTCTTGCTTACCCATGAGAAAGAAGGTCCAACATCAAAGAGGAAGGAAAACTTCAAACAAAGCATTACCAAACAGATTATTAGAACCTAACCTGATAAAAAATAAATAATGATAGAGATCACTAAAAATGATGCTCTAAAGTACTAATTAGTGCTATTACTAATGATGTGGCAGTGAATCCCACCATCTACCAATAAATGCCACAACATTGGTGGTTGCTTTAGAGCACCACTTTTAGTGGTCTCTATCATTGCCCCATTTGGAAACCTGTTTACACCCACCTGTCTAGCTCCCCGGTATTTAAAGGCTCTCATGGTCACCAGTGGATTTCTAGATTTTCGAATACATTTAGGCCTCTCATGTCTGACTTCCCAGTAATTAGAGGCTCTTGTGGTCACGTCCAAACAGGACTGCCACACGCTAGTCTACATAATGTTTCAGTTGTTCACCATCATCTATGTCAATGCCCAAACCATTTCTGCTGTTTCTCAATCAGAATGATGAAATGGGGATGCCCAAATCTAAATATTCCATAATGAACAATGTTTCATGCTAATCCATAAAAACATTTCTAAAATGAAAGCCTAGTTAAAGGTTATTTAGCATACACATCCTCGGTCAATTCCAATAGATAACCTATCTAGATCTAATACAGTAGACAATTTTAGTTACACAAATGCACGGATTCATAAAGCAAAAACAAATCCACCATTTTAATCATAGGAGTACAGAACTTGTCGGGAGAGAGAAGATAGGCAAAGGAAGTTATACCACAGTCCCTTCATTATCTCTATTCCTTGGATGATTTGTTGATGAGTGACTTGTGGATATGAGGAATCACACCTCCACCGGCTATGGTTCCTTTGATGAGGGTGTCAAGTTCTTCATCTCCTCGGATTGCAAGCTGCAAGTGTCGGGGAGTGATACGTTTCACCTTGAGATCCTTGCTTGCGTTGCCCGCTAACTCCAACACCTCGGCAGTCAAATACTCCAAGATAGCTGCTGTGTAGACAGCAGCTGTGGCCCCCACTCTCCCGTGTGCTGTGGACCTTGTTTTCAGCAAACGATGGATCCGACCAACTGGAAACTGCACATTACATATTGCATAAATATTTCGTTAGCTTAAAACAAAACAAAACAAAACAAAACTACGGCATATAACCCCCTGGAGGCACTGATAATAGTTCAATGCAGCAAATTATAAGAGAACAATGTTTATTGCGAGTATCAAAATCATGACAAATACCTATAGATTGATCGATCAGAAATGGGTCTATTAATAATGTAGCCTTAGGCATCCTTCAGAAGTTGGCTCAAAAAACTAGCTTATTGGCAAAGGATGGAGCTATAGAAAGTTGAACACTTCTCAGTTCTCAGAAACTTCGGTGACATTTCTTGAACTCTCGGAACACGACCATGGATCTTATCATAGTGACAATGATTTATATTCTTCGAAATACAACTTATGCATTCTGAATATGTTTTGAAACATTTATAAGATGAATATATCGTGCAATTCAATATTGTTTTGCAATTGTTACATGAATGATATCTTGATGTTCAAGTTATGAAATATATGACTTAATAATTTTAATGAGTCTTATATTGCATTTTTTTCATTACGTTTGAACGAACTATTTATTTATTTGGCATACAATAAATTTTACAATAATGCTAAGGATCATGAAATTCATCATGAAGATTTTTCATTCATTGATTAGTGTGTGATTAATGTGTAGTGTTTTATTGTATGGATAATCTAAATGTGGAGAATCTTTCATGATCATCTTCATGATATTTTTTTCATGATCCCTAGCATTACTGTAAATTTTAATGTGTCCCAAGCATATTGTGTCCTGCATTTTTTGAAAATCGACATGTCAATATGTCCATGTTGTGTCACGTGTCAATGTTTGTGCTACTTTTTGGATTATGTTATCCTAAACACTTCCCCTAACCTGGGTTATGTAAATGAAACACAACTGTATTACTTACAGGGTGGTAAGAAGCACCATAGAATAAAAATACTGAAACAAGTTATAGATCAAAGACATCTTTTGTTTTATATCGCTCCCAGATGGTATCATTGCACAAGAATCCACCCTCATCAAAACAAATTATTCTTGTTTCTCCATTATTACAATTTATGATAAAAAAATTCTATCAAACTAACCTTAATTGTATTGAATTTGGACTCTTGTGTTTGTTTCAGTATATGGTTTTTGCATGTGCAAAACTTTTGATAAGCACTACAAAAAATATTATTGTAGCATTACTATCAACAAGTACAGGTCCTACAGGACCTTCATGCACACCTTCTAAGCTACCACTCATTACCTAACATATGCCACAAGGTTTCTTACACATGCAAAAGCCACTGTTAAATGAACCTTCACTAAACAGCATCATAGTCAACAGCTTGACACATATCAAGGGGCCAAAAAAGATCGACAAATTGACAGTGTAGCAGAATTCTAAGCTATACCCAAGAGACATCAACAATAGAGAATAGTACAGCCACAAAGTACAAATTTCCATCTATAAGTTTTTTTATTCCCTTTTGTCTGTAGGCCCAAGTAGAAGGGGCAAAAGATAAAATAATAAAGAATCAGTGGCATCTAAAATGGGTACCCACAATCATTCTTTGATATTGTTCAGAAAAGGTTGTCACTCAATGTTGTACATAATTAAGTTGGCTGTAACTTCTACCTGCTGTTTCAAACATTTAGGCTTTCTTTGCATGATAGATGAAATTAGGACAGAGAACTAAAGTTGCTGATTTCCTTGCCTCATCACACTTTCCAAGCTGCAAATGAAGGGCTTGGAGTTTGGGGGCTTATGAACAAGTTTTACACTTTTTTCCAGTCAAAAGAAATAGTGCCAACTTTATATCATTGAACCCAGTAAGGGGGACAAAAAATATCGGTTTTTGAAAAAAAATCATTGCTGCATATAACCCTTGATGGCTTGCCCTTTCCAGCATAAAGCATAGTTTTTTTTTTTTTTTGGGGGGGGGTTGGATAATTAAGCCTAAAGGCTAAAGGCTAGTTTTATTAATATTTAAAGTATGGTTATCAGAATCCTGATCCGGATCTTACGATCCTACGATCTTACAATCCATTTGAGTACAATCGATCCAGATCGTGTAAAAAATTCCTTATACGTAAGATCTTTCGATCTTGGTATTGGGATCTTATAGAATTGTGGAATCCCAACCCAAATCCAATCTTATCCAATCCAATTTACGAGCCTTATTTTGTATTGTATGATATATTTTATTATAAATTTTATGTTTGTTGTCTAAATACCAATTTATGTGGTCAAAATAAATAATAAAAATTAAGTAATATTGAATCAAATAGACTAATAAAAACAAATTAGGAAACAAACATTCAAATATTGCGGTAATTTAAGAAAATTAACTAATCAGAAAAACAAACTTAACTTTAGCGGAGTCTAAGGAGGGTAAGATGATTGTAGCTTTATCCCAATTTTTGGAGAAATTATTTTTGTGACTCGAATCCGCTCCACCAGGGATGCTAACGGCAAACCTTATCATTCGGTTAAGTTGCTCTTTTGCGCTCTTAATCTATTTTCATATCCAACTTCGTTAAATATTTTTTCTTCACTTTTTATGCATTATTGTAGATTGTAAAGTATTTTGTTATAAAATTCTTCTTCTTCACCTTCTTTTTTGATGAAATTCAAAACTTTTATCATCGAGTTTTCTATTGTATAATATTATATGTACATTTTATATAAAGTATTATATTTTTTACAATATCTTCACTTCTTTTTAATAGAATATAGGCTCATTTTGTGTATACTTTTTAGAAAATATTTATTTAAATTAAATTATTATGTAATTTGTCTTTTTCGATAGGATCTTATGATTCTCGATCCGATTCTACGATCCAATCCTATAAACACCTCCAACGTAGGATCCCGATTTTAACAATCTTGATTTAAAGGGACACAAACAACACCAACATCAGTTTTACATGAGAAAACTTACCAAACAACAGGCTGCTAAATTCTGAAGAATCTTGACCACACAAAAAAAGGGAGGGGGGAGGGGTGTTTAATTAGTCTGAAGTCTTCTTCTTCTTTTTTTTTAACATGATATAATCTACAATTTTACCAAATAGTCATCTTCTAGCTTTTTATTTCATCCTTAATCTAGTTAATACAATAGTGTTCCTTTTGGCCTTAACTGGACCATCATTACTAACTTAGAATGATATCATTTGCTTCATGCAAGAAGGGATCAAGGTTCAATTCTCTTCATCTTCTTTGATAAAATCAACCATTGATCTTCCTTACCCTTCTCTTATGCTTGTCAATCCTAGGTGGTTCGCTTGTGTCATCAAGCCAAGAAAAGACTAACCTTCATTACTCAAAACTTGTCCCTTTATCGACTATATTAGCAGGGCCCAACCTGTTAAAGACTAATGCACAAGTCGCAAAACCTTCAATGCAATTGAAGACTAAGACTCAAGTAGGCTTTGACTTTGTCTTTCACTTCTTCCACCATGATGTGATGTACATTTGCCTTCTTCCATTTCCTTTTGGCAACGAAAATTGAAGAAAAGGATCTGATCAAGGGTGGAAGAATAGCTTGATCTTAAGCAAACCTCAAACTAATCTCTCCAAATTGAAGAGATTAAGCTTGAAAGTAAACTTAACACGTAGAGTGTGGTTTGATGTGAAAGGGCATAGATGCACATTGTTAAAATGCTTGATGATCCCCCATGCGTGGCTTGAAGAACGCTTGAGAGCTCTTGTAGTATGTTGGCCAAGGTTTTAATTTGGAAATCCAATTAGTGTGTTTCGTTTAAGTTTTTTAGATTAAGTTTTTTGAAAATTGAGTTTTTTGGTTTTCGTGTTTTTTATTTTTAGTGAATATTTTTAAAATTTTAAACTTTTTTAGATGCACCTTACTTAGATGTATTTAAAAAATAAAAAAAATTGTGAAAAATATTTAAAAAAATTAATAAATACATAAAAACACAAAAAATGTACTGAATTCTCTTTTTTTTTTTGTTTTGTATTTTTGGTATTTAGTGAATTTTTAAAAGGTTTTTTTCACAATTTTTTTACTTTTTAGGTATATTTATGTTAGGTATGTCTAAAAGCAAAAAAAAAAATTACTTAAAATATTAAAAAAATTCAATAAAAACAAAAAAATACCGAAAACAAGAAAGTAGAATTTTCTGAAAAGTGTTTTTGGAAAAATGAAACCAAGCAAAGTAAAAATTTGAATTTTTTAAATGATTCAAATTTCTATAATAACAGAAAATGTCATATTATGGAAATAAAGTTGAAAAATCAATTTTGTTAACTCTTTTTAGATTTTAACACGTGTCATTGTGGGGCCGCATCCTTGGATTGGTCCAATTAGTTGACCCATGTTGTCAAAGTGGACCAAAACACTTCTGCTGGTGCATCCCACATTTCGAAATGGGTTTAAGCCCTATGATTTTGGTAGGACCTTCATTTAATTTAAATTTTGACTATTGTGACTTTGATTAAAGGGAGTGCAACCCCTACCATCTGGCTTTTTAATTCACGCTAAAACCCTTAATTATATTGTTGTCCAAAGAAATCCAAGTCCAACTTAATTTCTCTTCAAATACTGTAACCTAACACTTAAGAACCCAAGCCAATTTCAATTTCTCCTTACAAACCCCACAATCTTTCTTCTAGCTCATCCAACCCTACTAGCTTTTTGCAACCTATCTCAATATAAAACCAATAGTAGGCAGCTTTATTCCAAATTTCTAACAGCATTCCCACATCACTTATAAAGGAGGCATTTCAAAAAACAGTTGTTGAGAGAGTTGCATAAAAGGCATCCCCAAAAGGGTTTACGTTGAACAAGGTTCCTAGAAACATGATATTTCCCTTGCATTAACTCTATCCTTCCATAGGTTGGTCATTCGAAATCTTAACAACCACCCTTCCAGCATATTAATTAATTTCAACTTCAAATCAATCCACCCAAATTTAAACTAAAATGTTTGTGACCATTGGTTTAATGGTTAAGACTTGGCCTAATAACCTTGAGATTATGGGTTCAAGTCTTGGGGCCACCACTTTACGTATTATGCTAAAGGTTAGGTGTGTACTGAATCTTTCCCCTCCCAAACACACATTAATGTGTACTTATTGGGCGTTGTTGTTTGTGTGGACATCTATTCTTTCATGGCTTAAGGCAATTCCACTCCATGCGTAGGTCATCATCTGTTGTTCGAGTATTGGGTAATTACACAAGACTTCAAAAGGCATCTCCCCAAATGCTCCTATTATGTTAGAAACGAGCTCCTTCCCAAAACTCAACAGACAATATCACACAAGGTTTCTCTATCATCAATCTTGGCTAACCCTTGGATTCTATTTCCTGTTTTACTAAATAAATAAAATTCCACATAATGGAGCATGTGATTCTTAAAACATCCTCCACCAGTTCAAGCAGATCAAAAATCTTCCCCAGTTCAACGTGAGATTTCTGTTTTTGTTAGTTAGAAGTTCAAAACTAAATCATCACAAACAACACACAACAGGGGACATTTTTCACAAAAGCCCAGAAGTCCACCCCTGCCTCAAATTGAGGCAATCTTATTGACATCACAATTCCACAACTCACTCTCCAATTTAACTTAATGAAGATCAACCATTCCCAACCCCACAAATACTCTCTCTGTTAATCCATTTGCACCTTCTTTCTCCAATCACCAATCTCACTGGCATGAAACCAAAATAACCGTCTAATATTGTTTTCTTACACACCATACTCTTTACTCAAAAACTAAACCCAAAGTTCTACGAAATTGCTAATCTACATCCATTATGTCACAACCCCCTCACTCACAAGGTGGAGAGACCATCCACGTGATAGGAAGGGATGTGGATACAACCTTTTAATGTATTTTACAATACAAAAAATAAGTGAGAGAAGTAATCTATGCACTAATATATACAAGGAGACCACTAGTTTGGTGTTCCCTGCTTCTTTATGTTGTGTAGATTTTTGTTATGCCAAATTTATCCTTAAATAATACAATGTTTTACTGTCTAAATTATTTTGTCTTCATTTGATTTTGAAGTCAAATATGAAGATGCACAAATTTCAGCCACATTAAGTCTTAATTGGGCATACAATATATTTAAACAGTAGCTGCCTGCTTTATGAATTAACTATCCTCTTTGATTTTCAATAAGAATTTTGAAAATCAAAGTTTATATTTTTTTTGCTAATTATGTTTATGTTATAATTTTACTGTAAAGATTTGATTTTCATGTTATAAATTATAATTAACTTTGTGTCACAACTTCTAGTATATATACTACAAGTATAGTAAACATATTATATATGTAATTAATATAGCACTTTAATAGGCAAAAAATCATATTTAAGCATAAATTAGAGTAAAAGCATCATTAAAGGCAGAGTAGTTGGTAAATTTTAAAGCCACAAAACAGCCTTGAAAAATTTGAGCAAACATTTGATATAGCTAGTTTTGAGTAAAAGAATGGAAAGGGATTTGGGATTTTTTTTACTCAAATTTTTTAAATTTACTAGAGATGCCGTTACAACAATGTAATCAACTAATCTAAGCCCTAATCAAACAGAACATTGGCCAAAACGATCCTAAACAGCAAAAAAAGCCCAAATATACAGAGAAAACAGCACAAAAACTAGGTCAAGAAAGCACAAACTGAAGCGTCGAAACAAAGATCAAATTTAAAATCAATGATAGAGAAAATGCATCGATATGAGGAGGGAGAGAGAGAGAGAGAGATCGGACCTGCAGGCCAGCTCGGGAGGAGCGAGAGATGGGTTTCTTCTTGTCCTTGTCTTTGTCTTTGTCTTTGCTAGGAGTCTTCCCCATTATCAAACCCTTGGCACCTTTCCCTGACATCTTCGTTTGTATGGAAAAGCTTCGGAGACCTCTCTCTGAGAAGCTGGATTTTGGAGTGAGACGAAGAAGAAGGAGAAGAAGAAGGAGAAGAAGAATAAGAGTGGACTTCTCTCCTCAACGAGATCGCATTCGGAGACCAGTGAACGCCGCCACAGACACACAGAAAGGGAATCTGGAGATAGCCGCAAGAGGTTTACTTCTCAAATGACGCATATACCCTTTGGTCTTTTTTTTATTTTGGTGTGAAAACGTTACCCAAAAACAAGAGAAAAAGAAAAAAACAACTATAAGCTTTTAAATTTGTCAATTTAAATATTAATTTTTTGAGTTATTTTTATTCTACACTGCTAGTTTTTTTTTCTTTTTTCTTGTTAAATCAAATTGATGGAAAAATAAATATTTAGTCATTATATTTAATGTAATGTTTGTAAAATGTCTAAAATATCTTTTTTTTTGTTAAATTTAATGACTAAAATATATTTTTTCTATTAGTTTTACTTACGGATGTAGATAAATAATTTAAATCGAAATTAAATCAAAATTTTAGATTTAAATTAATAAAATTAAAATTTTAAGATTTATTCTGTTATAAGGGTTTAACTTGAGTTTTTTTTTCTTTTCTTTTCTTTTCTTTTCTTTTCCCTAAACTATATTACAGTTTTTGTGTTATACTGTTCATACTATTATGTTTTGTTAGTGTATTGAAAAGTTAAAAGAAAATAGGACTTCTCTAGAATATTATTAATCACCAAACAATGATTTGCTCATAGTGTTATAAATTATATTTATAATAAAAGTTAAACCTTAATTTGACAATAAAATAGTAAAACAAGTCTTTGACAAACACAAAAACAGTAAGGAAAACAAGAAAATTATCAAAAATGACAAGTTAAGCTTAATTCAATTTTGAATAATAATAAAAGGTCAAACAAACAAGTTAAACAAGTAGTATAGTAAAAACTCCTTGAGAAAATAAGTGACAAAATAAAAATATTCTAAAACAACAAAATTATGAAATAAGATGCCGAAAAAGAGAAATTCACCGAAAATTTGCCTTAGATCACAGCAAAGTTGTAAATTTTGTCTACTACATCATTTTTTATTCAGCATGTCTTTTCAATGTGATTTGTAAGCTATACATAAACGTAGCGAATAAATGGATTCGGACATATCTTACATGTTAGAATCCGAAACAAAGAACCTTATGAGTAAATTACGTACTTTACAAACACTAACTAAAAACACTCAGAACACCCAGCAATTGATTGATACTACAGTATGAGTATCACCCATTCTAGTCACAGTGCAAAGGTTTGATTGTTCTTTGATGGGAGAGAGTTAGAGAGAAAGTATTGAACAACGTTTTGGGGTTGGTATTCACATAACATATCTGATATTATATATAAATCAGATATATAACTACCTATCCATATCTCCAATAGATAAGATAGATGTAGATAGATAGTGGGTTATTCTAACAAATAGGATAATCAGGGAATCAAATTTAAATTACGTGGGTAATTTGAATGGGCCATAAGTCATGCTACATAGGCGCCCAAATCCGGATCCAATACCCAACCTAATTTTCAACATCTCCTACTCGCACATGAGTTGGCATGACATTGCCATATCTTTATCTCAACCTCATACTAGCCAATGAACGACCGCTGAGAAACACCTGCATGTGAGAGCTCTATGCTAGAAACTCAAAATAAGCTAGCATAGGGACATCAACCCAAAAAGAATAAACATAGTGTCTTACTACCCAAATCCATCTAGTTACATTAGTCCAAAACATTTCTAATCCCTCAAAGAGCATGTTTGACCCTCTTAGGTCCTACATTATATTCACACTTAATCAGTATCCCATACAGAACAATGTGAGTTGTGGACAGTGAATATAGAGCAGAGATGTAGAACTAGATAATCTTCTTTCCACCTTCATATCATTTAACTTGGAATTGACCGCTTTCCCAGTAATGTCCCTTAAAGCCGAATCATACATGACCACAGACAACATACCAAAGTAGCCGAACATCAACTCCTTATCTTATGACATAGTCAAAGGTCACAAAAGGCACAAAGTGAAGTCATTGGGAAAAAAAATGACCTTTAGGACTCACACAGTGAGGAAGCAGGGATCCTTTCACTCACATCGCAAACAGGTCTATAAGCACATACAGTATGAATGCATGCTACAGTGGAGTTACTTTTCCAAAGAGTGATGTTAAACTCATACACCGTACATGTCACGACCCAAATCTGCCCCTATGGATTTAGCACCGTAACTGGCCAGTAATCCGTGATTACCGAAGGCCTGCTTAACAGTAAAGACAGTAATACAGAGTACAGGGGCTGGCGAAAGCCAAAACAGTAATAAAAGATGTCCAATGAGCTGTGACAGTCTGTATGTAAAAAGACTTTTCATAATACATTCACATTTGGAACAAAAGCAATATGTACATACACATATACAGGCATTCAGGTTAGGGACCGAATCTCTACCATAACAGTACAGTACAAGTCTCATACAGTCTATACAAAACAGAAACAGAAAGGAGGAATCTAAAATACTCCAAAAAGCCCTAGCTTAAAGGACTTGGAACCTCTCAGTGAGGCACAGTGGTTGGCTTGACAAAATGAAGTTTAACCCAACGCTCCTAACTCCGATTCGGTGCCTGGACACCTACATATATATATATATATATATAAAAACAATAACTAAAGCCCAGTGAATAACAGTTGTGTAAAGAGGTTAGGAATGAATGTCCTTTCAGTATTTAAAATAGTCATTTGAACAGTATAACAGTTATTCGATCATAGCAGTCATAAGTGGTACATCCAATAGCAAACAGTACAGTAGGTCTTAACAGACTGAATAGTCAATTGATGGCCATCATATCAGTAAACAGTAGTGGTTCCAAGCATGGGAACCGACAGAGATCTCTGTGACAGTAGCGGTACAGTACTGTAATAGTAAATTGCTATGGATGCCACGAATACAGTTCGCAAATAGGACAAGCATTCATTCAGTAAGAAATATCATTTCAAAAAAGCAGTACAGTTGATCATTCAGAAAATATTCATGATTGAATATAACTTTACAACATTGTTACTCATAGAGTTCTGGGTGACAGATAGGCTAGTGAACGTCCTCGAATGCCAACCCTACACAGTTACATAACGAACACACACTAAGCTACACACTTGGGGATCAATGACTTAGTCCCTATCTTGACTCGGTGTGGTTCTATAGCATTATCCTCATTAAGATGCCTTAAACTAGGCCTAGGAATGTCTAGGATGGAATGAGGATGCAAAGATGCACTTTGAAACACTTTTTAGAATTTTCAGAAAACAGGGGTCTCGCCGAGCGTGGCTTTCTACGCTCGAGCGGACATGCAGACAAAGGAGCTCCGCTCAAGCGTGACTTTCCTCGCTCGAACAGACAGCAAAAGTACTGGATGCATGAAATTCACGCTCGATGGGCGCTCGACCCCCGCTCGAGCGTGAGACACAAGTCTTCGCTCGAGCGGACTGTAAACACATGCAATGTACTGGATACATGCATTTCACGCTCGAGCGTCACTTTACTCGCTCGAGCGTACTGCATGAACTCAGAGTGTACGCTCGAGCGTGGATCCAAAATCTGGAATTTCCAGATTTGTCTCCAAGCATGAAACTCAACATTCAACACATCAAAACTCAACCTCTTGGGCCCATTTTCTGGAAAAACACTTTAAACCCATAATATAACATGTTTCAAAGATCAATTTGCAAAATCAAAGCCCAAAGGTGAGTCAAATGGACACCAATTTCAAATAGACATCAAGAGCATGATGAACATGCAACATGCATGAGTTCAATTGAAATCAAAGCTTCCAATACATAATCAAATGAGTCAATCCTTCCAAAAACATGATGAATTCATGAATTATAACCCAAATATGGACATGCATGTGAGGATTTCCATGAAATCAACCTCAAAACTCGACAATGTGTACATGCATGCATGAATTCCTACTCAATCCAACATATTAAGCTAATTCATGCCTTAAATCACTAATGGCTCATGGACCATGCAAGATACAACTAGAATTCAAGTTCAAGAAGATGATTCTCCTACCTTAGGTCCTCAATTACAAGAATGGAAGCTCAATTATGCAATCTCTCTTCAAAATCTTCAAGTCTCCAAGCTAAATTTGTTGAAATCAAGTTTTTTTCTCTCACTCTCTCTCTCTAGTCGGTTATGGGTCTCAAGTGGCTAAGGAAATGTGATAAAGCTAACATAGATGAATCAAATAAAATGCTCATGAACTAGTCCACTAAGTGGCAATTTGGTAAATAAGCCCACTAATGCAATTTAACATTATTTAATCCAATTTAATCATACCAAGTCGAATTTCAAATAAATTTATCATAAAATCACATTAATTCTAATTATGATAAAACACTAATCAATTTCGGATTCGGCCGCCGATAAGGCCTTCAATTTGCAGTTTAAAACATAAAACATGAACAGATCATTTAGCAGTCAAACAGATAGATTTGCATTTAAACTAATACACTCAATCAATCAGTTCAGAATTTCAGTCAATCGGTCACTTAACATGCTTAATCAGAGATTAGCACTAATCAGTGGTGAGGGTTGTCACAGTACAGATCTTAGTCTAGTCGCTCTTAAGCACACAAGTCACTTCCTAGCATCTAACTCGAATTCTCTATTTGCTCGCCTCTCAAGCATCAAATGAGATCTTGCATTTGGCTTTCCATAACAAGCACATCATGAAAAGTGGGTACTCATATCCATGGTTAGTCTCTAACAATACCTCATCTTGGCTTCAACCAAGGCGATATAGATAGTGGATAATTTGAGCCTCTCTTTTGACTCCAAATACAATAAGCCACTAGTCTTATCCTTGTTCGCTATCTAGCGCTAAGGGCAATTGCTTGTGTGAGTGAGCCAATTTTGCCTGCTAACATCAAATTTATTTATTCTAAGTGAGCTAATTCACAAACCATGGCAAAAAATAGTAAACATAAATGTGTAATATAAACAAATATGAATACCAATCGCATAAATATCCAAAAAAAAAAAAACAAGAGTTCAACTGAATACACATATATCACTACCTACGTAGTCCTAAAGCCTTAACATGAGTACGATAAACATCTCTAGCAATGGG